TGTTCTTTGAGCAAGCAAAACACTTTTCCTTTTAATGAAGACTGAAACACCCCCAGCAAAAGCAAAGACTCTCCTTTAATCATATGGCTCCAGAGCTGAAAATCTGAACAAGCCATGCATCACAGGGCATGTTGATAAAACTGGCAATATTGGTGGCAGGCTTTGAAGTAGTTGAATTATAGGACTGGCATATCTGTAAGTGGTGTTTTGCAACAGGTAAGATGGTGACACAGCCTAATTTTACAGCTAGCACAGCCCTGCAAAACCTTCTGCAGTGCAGAAAAAAAGATGCGTAGTGCTCTGTCTGGCTTTCACTAGAGACTTAGCCTTACGTGACCTTACTGAAGTCACTGAAACTGTGCAGAGGAGAGCCTGCTGCTTCTTACTTGCTTTAACTTTGTACCACAATAGCAGGTGGAAAGCTGGCAGGCAGCTAAAAAAAAAACCCAAATAAACCCAAGTTTTTGGTTTTTGTGATGGGAGGAGAGCAGCAAAGGGATGGAAAGAGCAGGTTGCAAGATAAAGTTGAGTAGCAGGAGGGAACGTGTGTGGGAGCTGAGCTGGAGGCTATTGATTGGCAGCTAGGTCTTAACATCAGCTGCATAAAAGGAAATCGAAGAAACTGCCCAAATATTACCAGGATGAAAGGCAGGATAAATAGCAGAGCTGAATGCTGGGCTGGTCTGCCCTTCTGGAAGGGCGGCAGGTCTCCCCTTTTGACTTTGCATAGGGATTGCATAGCCCCACACTGTGCTCTCCTCTGAACCAGTGTGTGCTCATGCTGGATTTGACAGTAGGATTTGGGGGTAAAATTACCCTCTTCTGTCTGTGGGCAAAGTGTGTGGAGTATCTCAGATGCTTCTATACATTCAAAGCCTGGGATCTGAGATCTGTGTCAGGCTTGCCTTTCTCCAAAAGAAAGAAAGGTGAAAATGCATAAATCCTTTTTCAACTTTACATCTTTGCCAGCAGGTACCTGAATTAACATGCATATGTTGCAGAGCTCCACATAGTGCATTGGAAGATGAAATGGGAGAGGATGAGGCTTTTTGTACCCAGGGAGCTTGTGAAATAGGTAGTGGGAACAGAGGCAGCTTGCACAGTCCTTTGAGGGAGGGAGTCCTGCTGGGTAGGTTCCAGGTAAGTCTTAGGAACCCCTTTGCTTAATGCTCTTAAGCTCCTTTTCCCTCTTAAGATTCAGAGGATTTTGCTAAATGCCTAATTTCTCTTTCAGCAGTGCTAGGATGTGTGGAATTAGGAAAGAGGCTTGAAATTTCCACACCACCTTTAGTGGCTGCTAAAGAGAGTGAGTTACTGAAGACCAGTAACAAAAATTCGCCTTGTGGGGAAAAAAAACCCCACACCCAAAAACCAAATAAACAAAAGCTCTGAAATTTTCATCCCCACTGTCAGTATTTTGGGGCAGCAGCCTTTTGGTGTGCTGTGGTAGCAAATTGCAGTTCTGGAATCCCAGAGATTAGAAACAAGCCTGAGTAACAGACAGCTGGTGAATGTGTTTTAAAATTGTCCATTTAACCCAAGGCTGCTCCACGGAATGCTTTTTTAGCTCTTATATTTTTAGTTAGATGTGTGATATCTTTGGCCTTTCTGTAGGCAGACAGCCTGCATGAATTGCATGCTTCGTATTGATGGAGCTGAGTGCAGTCTTTAGCTTCTGTTGACTCGCCAGCAGTAGTGTACTGGAAATTTCTAATTCAGAAATAGGTCTTCTACAAATGATTTAACATCAGGCCATTGAAATTCATTTGTGTATTCCTTCTTAAGGCTATTAAAGATGTAGAGAAAACATTTAGCTCCAAATTAATGGTTGCATTTTTGTTTTAATCCTGCAGATGGGGTTGATTTATATCTCGAAATTATGTGCTGCACAGAGGAATTATAATATTGCACAGTTTTTAAGTTGTACTTAATTTTTTTTCATGCCAATATTTTCAGCTAGATGCTGTCTCTTTAATGTGGTGAGTTTTCTTTTTCATTAACTGTAAGGCGCTGCATTTCATCCTCTAGTTTGTATTCCTTTGTCCATTGAAATAGTTGTCTGAGGTCTATGGTGATTGGGAAGCTGGGACGAGGCGGAAGGTGCTGGGGCTCTTGCTGCCATCCCCTTCTTGTGGAGGGATGTAAAAGCAGAAGGGTGGCAGGCTGCCTGCAGTCTCTGGGGGGAGGCAGATCCAGCTGAAGAGAAGGAAATAGTGCACTCCTACATGCAGATAGAAGAGAAGAAGATGGGATTAAGTAACAGAGCAGAGATTTTGCACAATAGTGGCTGCTCTGATAAAATCTGGTTGGCTTTCCCTTGAGGATTATACAGAGATAAGCAGCCTTAGCTCATTAGCACCTCCCTTTCCTCTTGCTCTCTGATGATTGCTTTAGGTTTGATGGCAGGACTTGCTCTGCTCCGGGGTGCAGTGCTGGAAATGCAGCATATCCTGAAGCCTGAGATGTTAGGTCATATGCCATTTCTTGCAGCTGAGATAAGACTCTAGCTCAGTTGCTGTATGTATGCTTGGACCTTCCTCCTCACAGTGTTTAGTGCTCTTGGTGCATGAAAGCAACCATTAGAATCACAGGATTGAGTTTTTGAAAAAATGAGCTTTCTTATAGTCATTCCCACTAACACAAGTCCCGAAGTAGTGATGGAAATGAGCTTAACTTTGTAATTCTGGAGAGCATGATGGTCTTTGAAAATTGATCTGGCAAGTATTAAAAAAGAGGAGTGATGTTTTTCAATGTGCCTTCAAGTTAGGTCACTAATGATACTACTGCAATATCACAGTCACTGCAAACCTTAGTTCTTTGAAAGAAATACACGAGATGCTCCCTAACTGTTGTACGTAGTTACACTGTATACCTTGTGGCAATCCATACACATCCCCACTTGCGAAAACTGGTCTGAGCAATTTCCAGCCCTCAAATGCTTTTTACCAGCTCTTGCTGGAGGTTAACACTTATCCATATCTGCTGTTGATGTGTGTGATTGTTCGAGTGATCCTCTGACCTTCAGCCAGAAAAACCAAAGGTTTAAAGTCATTAAGGTCTTTCCTGGGCTATATTGGGATGTGCTCGCCTGTCCCCCAGGCTGATTCGGCTGGGATGCCTGCCTAGGTTGGGGGGAGACTTCGCATTTATATAGTCATGTTAAATGAATCCATTTGGAAGCATATTTAGTACTTAAATTAATGACAGTAGTTGAAGAATGGTGCTTTCCTGCTTTTAATTCATATACCTAAACCTACCCTATTTACTGGAACATAGAGAAGCTAGCTGCAGGTTTGTGCTATCTTGCATGCTTTTCCTGTGTGTTTTCTCAATGGCTCTACTCTTCGTAATTGTTAATTGCCTCTCCTTAAAGTTAGGTGTGAATCCTGCATGGATCTGCCTAGCTTTTGCTGCAGGCTTATCTCCAGCTAACTCCAGCACTAGCAGGAAAGGCAAAGTGACAAGTACATGTTAATCACAGTGGGCTCATGGCCTGTTTAAGGCCAGGGACATGAAAAGGGTTTAGAAATTAAAATATTGCTTACCATGACAAAAATGCCCTCAGGTTAGGTTCCTCACTCAGAATACGGGTGGTACATGTGAACTCTGCGCATCGTGGTGGGTGTGTCTTGCCAGGTCAGGAAGGAGAGGAAATGCTTTTCTGCTGGTGGTGTAACTCGTTTTGGACTGTAGCATCAGGTTATGTTTCCATGCCACTCGTTGCTGCCATTTTAATTTAAAATTTAAGAACAGCATTTCCCTTAAAAAAAAAAAAACTTCATCATTACGTTGACTCTGAGGATGTTCCCTGTCAGCTCTGCAGCAATGGCATCTGGGGTTGAGAAGGCTCTCAACTTCATCTCAGGCAGTATTTCCAATGAAAAAAATTGGCCTTTGGCCTCAGAAGATATGCAGCTTGGAATATAGCTATTACCTTGTACTGGAGCACCTTTAAATTATGCTCTGTGCGTTTCCTTTGTTCTGTGTCCGCAGCTGTGACTAGATGTGGGCAGCAATGCTGAACAGAGGATTGAAGAGGCTTTGGGAATTAAGGCCTTGCAGATGAGCAGGTCAAAAGTAGAAGGGAACAAAACTGAAATCATCACTGGTTCTCCCAAGTTCTTTGCTGTACTTATGTGGGTTAATCTAATCTCTTAATGTGATACTACAGCTGTCAAAAGCAAAGAGGAAACACTGATGTTGTGTCTCTATTGTAGGCACCGTTGCAGTGCTACTAACTGTGGTGTGCTGGGTCAGGAAAAAGCATTTCTTCGAAGTGATGCACTTCAGAGCGTGGCCAAAATAAACTGTAAAAACAGTTGCTACAATTCCCACAAACAGCTGTGAATAGTTATCTGGAGCTCTGCATAACCTGTGTAGCACACAAACAGCTCAAGATTTGCAGATCCCTCTACCCTTTACTGGAAGTAATCTTCTCTTTGCAGGAGCAGGAACTCCTCTGACTAGCACACTTGGGGAGGGCGAAGGCCCATTTATTTCATACATCACTCTGCTGATTTTCTGGCAGGCTCTTTGGTGGGGCAGAATAGCTTGGAGAAATGTGGTCATCCTCATTGCACTGGGCAGTGATTTGAGGATGTGGTAGAAAGGAGCCTGGGGGAGCAGGGACAGACGGACTGTAAATAGCTTTTCTCCTATGTGGTTGCATTGGAAAAGGCCAACTCATGGCCCCATCTGCTTTTGTTTTGTTCCCTAAGAAAGTACTAGTGGACAAACCCAGCAGTATGTTTTCCCACTTCTGAAATGTCTGAAACAAAAGGTTTTAGCTAGCATCCTTTTATATTTCTAAAGGGTCCTATATCTACTTTATCAGGAATGTATCAAGCCTCTAGTATGGAAAACTTTGCCATTTAAAACATTTTTTTCCCCCTAAAAGTCCTCTTGAACCTCTGAAGCCCAAGGTGCTCTTAGATAGGAAAGCTTAGATTTTGCAGGAGCTGTAACTTTTAAAAAAAGTAATACTTCTCCTTTTTATACAGTGGGAAGAAATTGGTGAGGTGGATGAAAACTACGCTCCGATACACACATACCAAGTATGCAAGGTAATGGAACAGAATCAGAACAACTGGCTTCTGACCAGCTGGATCTCTAACGAAGGGGCATCCCGCATCTTCATTGAGCTCAAATTCACCTTGAGGGACTGTAACAGCCTTCCAGGAGGACTTGGGACTTGCAAAGAGACTTTTAACATGTATTATTTTGAATCAGATGATGAAGATGGGAGGAACATCAAAGAAAACCAGTACATCAAGATTGATACCATCGCTGCTGATGAGAGCTTCACAGAGTTAGACCTTGGCGACAGAGTTATGAAGCTAAACACAGAGGTGAGAGATGTTGGGCCTCTAACGAAAAAGGGATTTTACCTCGCTTTCCAGGATGTGGGTGCTTGCATCGCCCTGGTCTCCGTGCGCGTGTACTACAAGAAATGCCCATCGGTGATCCGCAACCTGGCCCGCTTTCCTGACACGATCACGGGAGCAGATTCCTCACAGCTGCTAGAGGTGTCAGGCATCTGTGTCAACCACTCAGTGACTGATGAGGCGCCGAAGATGCACTGCAGTGCTGAGGGGGAATGGCTGGTGCCCATCGGGAAGTGCTTGTGCAAGGCAGGGTACGAGGAGAAGAACAACACCTGCCAAGGTAAGGGTTTGCAGGGATGGTGCCGTGCTGAGGCTGCCAAGGTGATGTGTGGTCTTGGCTTTCTTCTTTTCCATGTCCTTCATGCTTGGTTGAGTTGACAATGGTGGGTCGGGTTCTCACTTCCACTGAGGTCGTTTGAACGACCGTGGCAACATGAAGAGGCCGGCCTTGGCTGGATGTAGTGGGACTTGACACCTGTGAATGGGTCTTCCTGGTACTTACAGGGCTGTGGACAAGGAGAATCTGGCATGCCACTATTACCTCTGGAGCACTGTACTGTTGGCTCCATGAGGTGATTGCAATCTTACCTGTTATTTAAGGCTTTATGCTTTTTTCCCTCAGTGTCAAGGTTTCCTTATGAATTTTAGAAGCTTGGTTTCTTTTTTCTGGACTGTACCAGGGAATGTTTGAAGTTAATCTCCTGATGCAAGATGCATTTTGGTTTTGTATTTAAAAGAGTATGTTTTTCTCTCTCTTTCACTCTATGGGTGTGTGTGGGGAATTTGATGTTGTGTGAGTTAATGATTCTCCTCTTCGCTAAATAGTTTAATACAAAGCTGCTCAGGTGTTCAGAGTTAAACCTAAAGCCCCACTGATAAAAATGCTTTCATACGTGCTGAAGTTTTCACACAAATAGCTGGCTGAGGTTCCTAAGCTGCTGGTCAGGATAGGTCTCCTGAATCATCAAGGGCCTTGTGCAAGAGATCTAGGGTATCTGAAGCTCAAGACTTAAAGAATACTGTTAAAGAAGTGCAACATACTCTAAGAGTGTATAAGCTCATTTTATGGTTTGCTGTATGACATGCTTGTTTAGAAAATTTACCCTTCCATTGTAAGTATGTAACAAGTAGCTTAAAACCAATTTGGACATAAAAGAGAAGGGGAAAGAAGAAAAAGATTTCCATGCAGTTTGTTTCTTTGCAAAATTATATGTTGGTCATCGATCCCATCTTAATTGCCTTGTACTTGCAGCCACTTGGTAATGGATAACCTGTGGGGAAGGCAGAGGGATTCTGCTCCAACCGAAGCTGGTGTTGCATTTTCTCTTCACCTCACTCCAGACATTTGTTACTGGTGTTTGTAGTGTTGGTGCAAAGGAGAGAGGAGTGCATATCCAAAGCAAACTGTGGCCTTGATCCTTCAGTCCTCGGTCACGCACTGTGCCCCTGAAGATTACATAGTTTAAGTCTCTTCAAGTCAAGGGTTGACTTGAAAAGAAAATATAAGTATGTTTGTTTTTGGAGAAACCTCTAGTAAACATCATGTGGAGTATACTTTTTGACCAGGATAGTCTCCTTTTTCTGCAGATGTAGTCAATATAGCAAAATCTGACTTGGTTTTGCTTTTCCTGTGCCAATAAAGACACTTCTCCCATTTAGGGGGGAAGAAGAGGCTGACGATGTTTGATACTGCACAAGGAGAGCTACGATCAGCATTAGCCCAAGCTGAGGAAATCTAGACTGTCACAGATGAGGGATGTGTGTCAGGTAGATCAGGAAGGATCTGCTTTATTATGGCTAAAAATACCGTGTCCCAGAATAACATGCACTGGTTTGGTGCTACGTCTAGACACGGGCTTCAGTCACCTATAACAATTTTTGGAGGAAAGGGGTACATCCATTAGTCACCTTTCAAATCCTGCCCTCCTATGCTGCGTGAGCAGCATGGGGTGTCTCAAAGCACTCTTAAGGATCTCAAAACCAAACAAAAAACCAAAACACCAAAAAAAACCAAACCAAAAAACTGTACTGGTTTAAACTAGAAACCTGAGACTATCTTTGAAGAGCCTGCTATGCCTGTGGAGCAGTTGGGTCCCTGGCAGTGCTGAGATAGCAATCTGGGGCGTGCTTTCAGAAGACCTGAGTGATCTGAGGTTCTGCTTTCCATTTTGGGGTGTGGGTTGTGTTTTGAAATTTATTTTTCTTAGTCATTTGAGAGGACATTGTCTGGCCCCGCAATTTATGACCGTGTTCGTAGTTTGGAAGTGTAAAGATGCTTTGTGGAGAGGTACCCTTGTTTTTCTGTCATAATGCATATCTGCATAAACTACTTTAGTACTTCACCTACAGCCTACACCCAGGGCAGGAGTTTATCACTTTAATTGCTCTAGAACTGTTAAAGCCCATAATTCTCATTTGTAGGAAAGCCCTAAATTCCATCACCAAATCAATGGGACGTTGGGATCTGAGTGCCTATGGGAAAGTCTTTTTGAGGGCCCCATTTGGATGTCCTGTGTTTAACCGAGGTCATCATGCCAAACGTTTCCTGCTGGTTGGCTCCGAGATGCTCAGTTGATAGGAGACATTCAGCCTTAGGCCATTTAGGAGGTCTGCCTTCAGTGGGTATGGAGTTCACGCTGAAACCCTGTGAGAGTAAAATGCTTTCCAGTTTGGATATTGTTATATTTACAAGAATGAGTTTTTTTTTCTAGGACAGTAAAGTTAGACTTTGCAGCCCATAAGCGGAATAGTAACACCAAGAAAGGTCCTATGTGCTTGTAAATGCTTTTTTTTTCTTTTTTTTTCCCCCCCCCCTTCACAGCCTGACTGGTGTTTAGGAAATGCACTCCATGTTCCTGGTTGACATGATGATGGTCTTGGCACTCTGCAGTGTAGCTTTGACAAACACCTAAATAACTTCTGACCTTTGGCTTGTAAATCACTTGGGTGCATCTTGTAAGCGGTCTGCCTGCTTGCTTTCACTGAAGCGTAAGCAGGTTATTAGTGACCACACTTTGGGAAACATTTTCAGCACAGAAGAGCCTAGCTTTATTAAAATTTCTCCTGCAAAGATGACATTTTCCAAGTTCTAGTGTCATGTCTGGACAGAGCAGACTACACTCTCTTATTAGAGGTGATGTAAATCCCAGTCACCCTCACAAACATATGGGAACTATTGAAATCCCTTCTGCCTACAAATCATTAATTGGCAACGATGTTCTGAATTCATCATCTTGTCAGCAGGGTTCCTGTTTGAAGAAGGCACTGACAGTAACAGCTGAGCAATTTCTGTCGCTGGGGACACTGAGGTTGTAAATATGACATGGTCTAATCTCCTTATATAATGTGCTCACTCTCTCAATTAATATAGGCAGCTAGGTAGCAGTTACTGTAAAGAACCCAAACTGTTTGGATTTTTACACTTCTTTTGGCAACATGGCCCATTTATCAGCAATTGCTATGGGACAGCTAGAGGTAAATTGTGACTGTTTTGGGATGTGTTTATAAAGGACCAGTGTTAAGGTCCATTATTCACAAGAATAAATTGCTGTACTAGGTAATAAGAGAAATGAAAGCAGTTGCTCTGTGAATTTCTACACTGGTTTCCAGAGCGGTGATTTGGTGTCCCTAAAGGACTGATGGTTACTGGCTTTGCCTCTGTTCAGCCAGCGCCATCTGAATGGGTCCTTGAGGAAAATGCCCACAATTTCAAGTCTCCCAAAGGTGGTTTCCTCCTTAGCAGGCCAGCAACCAAAGTTGAGGGCCAGATTCTAAAATGCTGTTAAAACCTGATGTGGACTGAAATCTCTGTCTTTACCCACTTAGCGGTTTGGCCAAACAATTTCTTATCTGCCCCAGTCTATGCTTTCCTTTTTCCTGCAGTGTCATAGGTGAGTTTTATTGAAACTTCAATTTTAGTTGCTTACTGTATACAGCAGGGCTCACCATTGGGGTTTGCATAGGAAATTAATAAAATTGCTGTGAAAAAGGCATCTTCTGGCACTTTTCTTTGTATTCATCCTCACCTTCAGCCCAATATGTTCTCAGTGAGAAGCAAGAAGCACTTTTATGCCTTTAAAGGCTCTGGAGCCTATGCTACTGGAAGGCAGGGGATGTTGACGTGTTAAGCTAATGAGACCCAAATACACTTGAAGTGGTGAGGTCCTGCTAGTGACTGGGGGGCTTCAGAGTGGTAACTGCAGATGTAATTCATTTGCAGAGCCTGATACTCAGCTGCTTTTAGAGCTGAATCACAAATTAATCAAATATTTGTTAAAAAAACCCAAACAAACAAACAAAACCAACACCTGCATTGAATGAGAGCCAAGCTGAAAAGGTGAGTAGTGAGTTCAGGAGGTCACAAGGCTCTCCTTCCCCAAAATCAGTGCATGCTGCTACTTGAAGAGACATCAAAAGGAGTACAGCTGGTTTTAGCCAGCTACAAGGCATGAACAAGATTACAGATGTTAGAGGTGGACAAAATAATGGAGGAAAACTCAGTGAAATCTTTCTTCACCCTTGCCTTCTTCTGAGGAAGAACTTTAAAACTGAGGGCTGGAGGGAGGATGGGTTGAGGTGTGGTTTTCTGGTGTTAGAAAGGAATTGCTGCCAGAGGAAATACTTGGATTTTTCTTTTTTTTTTTTTTTGGTAAAACAACTGTAGAATGTTCAAGCCCTTCTGCTGTCTTAAATATTGATGTTTGTTTGATTAGCCTTCCCTTAATCAACTTTGCTGAACATACCTCAATGCATTTACAAAACAATATTTATTTTTGCTGATTGCTCATTACTTGTGTTGCAATTCAGCAGAGCTCTTGCCAAGAGAAATGAGAATTTCTTATAGAAAACAAAGGCTGCAGAAAAATCTCATGTTTGCAGGTCTTTTATTCTGGATATAATTAAAACTAATTGACATAGGTAGCTAGCTTATGTAGATCAGAAGTTTACCTGCCGAATCAGTTCTCAGGCGATTTTGTTGCTGGCTGATTGGGGGTGAAGCAGAGTTACTTATCTTCCTCTGAGAGCAGTGCAATCAGCGGAGACGTTTGAAGGCCCTTTCCCAGAGCAGTGATTGCCCCCCTGTTGATCAGCTATTGAAAGGATGTTCGGAGGCAACTGGTTTTTTGCAGCTGTGCGGGAGTAGGCACGCAGAGGTAGTGACCCTTGGCTGGTGGGTAGCAGAAGGCACTGTCTGTGGAGTGTTGGGAGGCAACTGAGGGCTTGCAAAGGCGGTGATGGCAGAGCCATGCTTGATGACTCGTGTTTCTGTGTCTGCACAGC